CTTCAAACGATCCCCTTAAAGCAGTTCCAGAAACGAGGGTAGCAAGATTTGATAGAAATAACTTTAAAAGTTCAAAGATAGTCTTACAAAATTTTATAAGCTTTTGTGAGTATTTGATAAAATGAACAAAAATGAAAAAGTAAACCCACCTCTTTTATTCTGAATACTTTCTGGAACTTTTTTATTCAAAATTCGTTGAGCAAGACCCTCCATTATCGCAGCTAAATATAGATATATAAATCAATCATGGTACCTTTTGAGTCGACTTTTTTTTTGGATCATTAAACTCAGATTTAACTCACTCTTTCCTACACCAGCTGGACCGATCACGACAGCAGGATTACCAAAGATTACAAGTTCGAAGTGATCGGGATACCCTGGGATACCACTTGAGTTCTCTGACTTAAGATGACGAGCAGACGAATGAGTACGATATAAATCACAGTGAACATGAAGGTAGAAAAGAAGCCAACGGAGCAAGGTAAAGAAGGAGTATTGACCTTTGAGAAAAACAGTTTCAAGTGAAGCCTTGAGTCGGAGGGTAATCAACTTCAGGAACAAAATCGGAGTTGGTTCATCTTTGAGCCTTCCGACTTTTTTTTTTTTTTTTTTTTTTTTTACAGTCTTTTGCACTAGCTCTCTGAACCCAAACCTCAACTAGATCAAAATTCTGTGATGAAAAAAAACAAGGCGAAATGTGGTTGAGGGATTGAGAATAATTTCATCAGAACATGATACTATGATTTGTATATCCCCAGTCACTTGAATTTCTGCACTTGAGCTCCTTGCCTCTGAATGTCTCAATGTCCGCTCAAGTTCACAGTACAAGGGTGAGTTCAACGCCTTGACCACATCAGAGTCTGTCTCCAACGACAAAATGAAAAAAAAAAAAAGAGTAGAAAAGTGATGAATGGAGAAAAAGAAAAGACATGAGAAGACCGAGGGCCTGAGTCTGTTGCTCTCATGAAGACACGTTTGGTAGCAAGTTGCTGTTGAGGGCGCAGACGGAACAAGAAAGGACCGTCAACCTGCAAGGTTTGGGATCAAGTTGACATCTTCGGTCCGTTGGTCTAAACTTATCCAGCGTGACCAGATAGGATGGGTCGTTGACTTGTCACATCTCCAAGCTTTAGGGTGTAAATAGGGGAGACAGGCCGTTGGACGAGCAGGAATGCTTGGTGAGAAGATGGACAAAGGACCAAGATCTGGTGAGTTGATGGTGAGAATTGGACGTCGGTTGGACAAACTCATTTGGACGTCCGACCGCTGCCATCTCCAATCGATGGTCTTTGGTTCCCTTCCGGACCACTGAGACAGACTATCGATATCATCCAATCACATCAGAGTACACATCAACACAGTTCACGCATTTAGCCAGGTCAGCCAACGTCCGGTACCGGATGCTGCACTCCGATAGGGGTCAAGCTGGCGATGGGATGATGGACAACGACCAAAGATTTGATGAAGAAGAAGGATCGATAAAAAGTGACTGAGGAACACAACCATTCACTGTAGAACTCCACTTCCCGCGCTTACCCTTGACCGGCTTTTTTGATTCCCTTTGTCTGGTCGTTCATCATCAATCCCGTCTTTTGCTCAAGTCTGTAGCTCTGGTCATGTCCACCTTGGTGTCTTCCGCCCTCCTGTCAAAGGTCTGGAACTACGTCTTCATTCCTGTATGGCTTGCTCAGGCTGCAATGCTCCATCCTTACTATGAGCCGAATGAGACGTATCGGACGATAAGACTTATCTTGGCACCAATAGTGATTTACCTGCTCTTTTCCAGCCAACCGAAGAGACTCATTCAACCAATCGAAGACTACATGCATATCAATTGTCAGTATATAAACCATGTCCCATTTTACTAGGATCACTATTGACTTTGCTACATTCGATATATCCTCCTTTATAGATGGCCTGGTCGCCATTCCCACTTTTCATATTACCTGTTGCGCACTACAATACGCGTTTCAACGTGGTCCGGTCTTAAAAAGCGATTTGGAACCAAAAAAAAAAATGAAGCGAGCCCGGGAGTCTGACCTAACTGAGTCGGAATCCGCTAGTGCAACTTGCTCCGACTCGGCAGAAGTTATTAAAAGTCCTCAACAAAACTTATCAACTGACCATAACAACTTGATCGAAAATTCTTTAAAGTCTAAATCCCTGAAACCAATTTTTTTTAAAAAAAGAAGGGATAAAAGAGGCAAAATTCCGAGTTGGGCAGAGCTTAGCAAATTTTCGCTAGGCCTAGTGTTCAGGTCAAGCTCACACCTATCTTGCCTCTATCGCTTTGAATAAATGTCTGATTTTTGATAATTCATCATTCTTTCAGTCCTCGTTGTCTTGAGTACACTTGGGCGCCTCCAGCTTCAGTCCTTTCACGCGGACCCAAAAAATCTGTTGCTTGGTTTGTGCTTGAGGAGGTCGTTAGACTGATTGGAAATCAAATATGCTTGATTGCCTTTGCAATCTTTGCCCTCCCAGCCACACAGTATCCTGGAGGGCCTTATGCATTCGTTACCGAAGTTTGGGGCGTACCGGATTCAGCGGTCTTGCGTTACCTTTCCCAATATTGGCTTCTCGGCGCCTATGGTGCCATCGGACTTCACGCTTTCACAATTATTGGATCGTTTTGGAATCTTGTGGAAGTGGTCTGGTTCACATTAACAAGTCGACTACTACCTGGAGAATGGGCTCCCAAACCATTTAATCCCACACTGTATCCGACCCTCTTCAACGACCCCACCTGGCGAACAAGCTTGACTGAATTCTGGGGGAAAGGTATGTTACTGGGAAATTGCCTCTTTTTTTTTTTTTTTTTTTTTTTTTTTTTTTTTAGAAGAAGAAGAAGCTATCTGACCCAGTATTGGTCTCGACGGTTAAGGTTGGCATTCTGTCTTTCGGAGGGATTTCATGTACTGTGGCGCCATACCAGCTGCGAAGCTCGCTAGTCCATTAGGGCCAACTGCTTCCAGACTTGCTGGCTTGATGGGAGCTATGTTGATGAGTGGAATAATGGTAAGTACCATAGACTGTCACTCTTATTTTCCGAATCTGAAGAAAGATTCTTACCAACTATTGAATACACACTTATTATTATTTTATTTTTTTTTAGCACGAATGGGGCAAGTCAAATTCGAGCTCTTTCAAAACCCACGTGAACTTGTACATCTTTCTAGTGGTCTTTGCATCTGACGTGACTGCCTTTCAATTAAAAATGAAAAATAAAATAAAATAAAAAAACGCAGGATTGATTAGCATTGTTAAAGACTTTGATTCCAGCTTCCGGACCACCAAGTTTTTCTTGATGATAGGTGTAGGCATTGCCATCGAAGCTATAATCAAACAAGTGACAGGCTACAAAGTTTCAGGTAACCTTGGCAGAATTTGGACTTTTGGATGGATTACTTTGTGGTGTACATTGATGATGGACGCGTGGTAAGTAGCTTTTAGAGACTCTTTATTTGTGATCCAATTTGATTCAATGTCTTGAGAATTTTTCAATTTTTTTATAATTCGAATCTTGAAACTGATAAATCTATCTATCTATTCTATTCTACAAAGGCTGGCTCGAGGAATGGGGAAAGCTGGGATTCGCACGCCTTGTGAGGTTACAGATTGGTCGTGGCCTCGATTTTTTGTTCCACTAGGACCTATTCTTCCGGATCGCTTCCTCGATCAGTTCAAATTCGCAAGTACAATATAGAATGTACATTCATTTTTTTTTTTTTTTTTTTCCCGTTTTCCAAAAAAAGGGAAAAATTTTAAATTAGAAAATTTTTAAAATTCAAAAAAAAAAAAAAAAAAAAAAAAAAAAAAAAAAAAAAAAAAAAAAAAAATTATGGATGTTGAGGATACGTATATGCTTTGCATGTACGTAAATACTTGGAATATTTAGGGCCCTGCTAAGTCACGCAAATCGCGAAGCAGCAACCGGTTCATCTCAGATCATATTAAACTCGGAAGCGCCAAAACCATGGCACTGGCAATGCCAAGCTCCAAGATTTTTTTGTTGGCATATCCTGAGACCTTTTTTTTTTTTTTTTTAAGAAACCTCTGTCATGTATTCAGGGATGCTCCCAATATATATATATATATATATATATGCCGCATGCTCAAATTCTTAACCGACTGAGTAACGGAGGGCTATTAATCAACATTTTAAGGCCATGTTGGAACATTTCTTGAACTTGAGAGAAAAAAAAAAAAAAAAACACTTAGTTCTGGATTGTAAAAGGACACGAAAAAAGTCTTGAAGGAGTGTCCTCTCTTTTGAGTTTTGACATTGGTAGTTATATACGAACGAAGCAGACCATGACAAACGAGATGTGGGACTGTAAGCTAAGCTAAGATGAAAAAAAAAGAAAAAAGAAATCTGACCTACAATGAGTAGGGAAAAAAAAAAAAAAAAGTTTGACTAGTATAAAGACTTATGTACTCTGATTCTCTATTCGATGAGAACAGAAGAGAGAATCAGAGTTATTCCAACATCAGTCTCCTTATAAATGAGTAGAGAACTACCCCAACATACAAAAAAAAAAAGAAAGATGAAAACACAATCAATCAATCAATCAATCAAAAAAAAAAAAAAAAAAAAAAAAAAAAAAAAAAAAAAAAAAAAAAAAAAAAAAAAAAAAAAAAAAACACCACTCCAATTTGAAATATATTACACACTACCTACTAACTAAAACCGCTATACCTCAACACTTTTCACCTAGGCCCAGGCGCACAAAAAAACAACACCTCAAAGATTTCCAGGAGGAAGGCAGCCTTCCTGATTCCACTTTGAAGCTCAACCCTCTCAAAACAATGTTGTGTTCTGTAAAACACCACCTGGAAGTTTAAAAATAAACCCTCAGAAAATTTACACCGCTATACACCCCTTCAAAAACCTTTCTTCTTTTTTTTTTAGAAAACCAGAAGGTCAGATAATAATAATTGATACCTCGAAAAGCTTGTTGAGATCTTGGCGCCCTGGAAAAGGAACGCTAAAAAGGCACTGAACAGAGTGGGATTCGAACCCACGCCCGAAGACCGCCGATCAAGGCCACGAGACATGGGAACCTGAAGACGGCGCCTTAGACCACTCGGCCATCTGTCCACACTACATGCAATTCGGTGACGTGTACACTGTACACGTCACCCTGACGTCCGTGCTGTCTTCCGTGCCTGACATATACAGCTGACGTATACAGCTGACGTATACATCTGACGTATACAGCTGACGTATACAGCTGTTGATGGCCCCCCTCTAACCTCCGCCAACCCTTCCTTCGTCTCCCTTTGTTTCCTAAACACCAACATTTCCATATTCTTTCTACCAGTGGCGAAAAACATTTTATCATGGCAGTGCTTTGCCTCTGCTCCTCCTGTTCTATGAATAATTTCACCAACTCCGAGGGCATCACTCAACACGGAAAGCTCATATCAGCTCGAAACAAGCAGAAGCACACTCGAAATGATCTTAATATGGCAAGAGGACTGCAGCAGAGTTTCAAAGTTGACCAAGTCCAACCTGGAAGATTCGAAAGCAGTGATTCAGAATCTCAACCAAGCGAGGTATCCACTGATTCGGAAAGTGAAGAAGAAGTGTACAAGGATCTCTCGGTAACAAGTCAGTATTTTGAGTCATGAAATACAGTCCATGTCCAAAGACTGATTTGAGGATGTATTTCACACAGGGCTTGTATCAGTGTTTCTAGCATGGCTTCATCTGGTTTGCGGCGTCAGTCATGACAACTGTGATATTGCTCAACGTTACATCATCGCTATTGTCCAAGCCTCCCAAGAATTGCCGAAGGAATCATTCAGCCCCAAGCTTTTCACCAAAGACCTTTGTACCAACATCAAACACTTGCGAATAACCCCTGACGTTATCAAAATTGTCTCATGTACCGCTTGTTTCCGTCTCTATCCCACGAAACAAATACCCTCGCAATGTACTTATTGGCCAACAAAGGGTGTCAAGCCATGTGATGAACCCCTCTTCAAATCCACAACTTCCTTTCAAGCCATCAGTGATAAGGGAGTCCGTCATCTAGAGCCGTATCGTTTGGATTCAAGGAAAATGATTGTTGATCTTCAAGTACCTCGAGCACAATATGTCATCCAGAACATTGAAACTTGGTTAAATTGGTTCTTGAAGAAGCAGGAGACGGAAGAAGAGATGAAGGTGTGGGCAGAAAAGGTTTATAATCTACCTTCCAACACTGTGCAAGATATTCAACAGACACCCGCATGGAAAAGTATGAAGTGGCCGATACATGTGAACGATGATGACCCTCCTCCACTCAATCTGGTCTTCAACATATTTATTGATTGGTTTAATCCGCGTGGGAACAAGCAAGCAGGGAAGTCGCATTTGATGGGTTTGATCGCATTTAATTGCCTCAATCTTCCACCCACTACCCACAACAAGCTCAGTAACTACTGCATTGCAGGCATCACTCCAGGGACTCACGAACCATCAGTAACAACAATCAACCATGTGCTATCCCCCATCATTGACCAGCTACTCACCCTGAACACTGGTGTCAACATCCATACTCATGCATATCCAAATGGTCAATTGGTCCGGGTGAAGCTCTTAGGTTTAGTGGGTGACGTTGTTGGAACCCACAAAGTGGCTGGATATGCTTTGCATTCAGCCACTTGCTTCTGTAGCTATTGCGACTGTACAATTCAGCAACGTTCTAAATTACAAATTGGTCGCCGAAGGGAGGACAAGGTGGTTCGAGCTCAAGCGATCAACTATCAGAAAGCTAAAACGATCACCCAACAAGAAGCTCTGGTGAAAAAGTTTGGGGTACATTGGTCGGAGCTTAACCATCTTGAGTATTGGGACACTGTTGATCACGTCATTCTGGGGGTGATGCACAATTGGTTGGAGGGTGTCCTCCAACACCATTGGCGTTATCAATGGGGGTTCAAGGGGGCATGTCATCAATCACTGACCCATGTCACACAAGGTGATCGTATAGACGAGGAAGAATCCGATTACGAGTCCGAAGAAGAGGCTGAAGGGTGGGACGATGACTACAATCTTCAGCTTGGTACAGCGGCGAGTCTTTTTTCAGAAAGAGAGCAGAAGGATTTTAATCGCCTGCTTGCTGGTGTCGTCTTGCCAGCGGGGATCAATAGACTGCCATTGAATCTTGGCGACACTAGGCATGGCAAACTCAAAGCAGTGCAGTGGAAGTCCCTGTACATATACATAATTCCACTTATCGTGCCCGAACTTTTGGTCTTGGACGTCGAGGACTCCAAGAAAACCTCTACTCATGCTATGATCATAGAAAATATCACCAGACTCTGTCGCTGCACTCAAATCGTACTCGCGAATGAACACACCAAAGCTGATTGCAATGAGTTCCGGTCAATGTACAACCGCTACAATGATACATCAAGACTTCTCTTCAACGATACTCGAATCCTCCCAAACCATCACTATGCTCTCCACATTCCGGACCAACTTTGTTTTTGGGGTCCTCTTATGGCTATTTCAGAGTTTGCAGGAGAATGGATGAATGGTTTGTTACAAAAGGTTAAGACTAATCAT